ACTAAATATATTTTCAAAATTCCACATAGCATTTGCTTGTTGTTAAAGTAAATGTAGTTCACGGTAAAAGTTTCGAAGAAATTTATTTTTCGAGCCCCAAGTCAGTGGGCGGTTTTTAGAGACACACGCTCTTAAAGCACTTGTAGTCGTGTTTTATCACATATAAAACACTCCGCTACGCGTCGTGTTTTATATGTGATAAAACACTCCTACGCGTGCTTTAAATAGTACTTAATGTACCACAATCGTTTAAAACTGTCTGTGTTAAATGTCACTCGTGTCGTCCTTTGTCGAGCTTTGTAGATAAAATGTGTTGTAATTGAAGTAAATGTTTAGTTTAAGGGACCCTGTGAATGGGGCAATAAGCCCTGTAGGGATCAGCAGCCATTTATGACAAAGCTAGTAAATAAATAAAATAAATAAATTCTCGCTTTTGAAGTCTGATCGTCATGAAGTCTTTGTAATATTTTCTGCCCATGGTGCTGTTTAAATTAAGCAGCCGCGGAGTCCGCCGGGGCTGAAAATTATTTATCCCCAATCTGAATTCCCTCAGTCAAAGGTATCGGTGCAGCGCTCTAACCAACTGGGCTACAGAGGCCAGCTGTTGAGCTGTAACCGTAAGTTCATGTATATATAGGTAACTGGGTGTGTGGGTTGTTTTAAGGTGGACTTCAATGATTAGGTTTCTTGCACTTCACTTGGTGGAATTAATATTAGAATGTTAGGGTTTGTAATCCAAGTGAGTATACATACATTTTAAGACCGGACCAGGAACGACTGCGAAAAATGCAGCACAAGGTCCTCTGTTAAGCCCGCCGCGAGGCGGTTAGCTCAGCAAGTAGCTCTCGTGTGCGGATAGTTTTCGTGAGGATTTGAACTCTCGAGGCCTTGAGGAAAATATCTATCGTGTTTGATATTTTTCACCTCGCGAGGAAAAAATCTCAGCGTCTGCGGATATTGTGAGCTAAGTGCTGAGCTGTTTGAATCAATTAGCCAATGACAAACCATAATTTCTTCATGTGACATGGAACAAAATGGGGGAAAATGCAAATAATTTTGTTAATTATGTTGTTGTTGAGTAGTTTTCCCAACGTGTGCGGTGAAAATACCGATAGCTGGGCTAGCCGCCACTCGAGGCGGTTAGCCCAGCAAGTTGCCCTCGTGTGCGGCAGGCTCAAGCAATTGAACCTACGGCCCTACGATTCCGGTGTGGTGAAGTGCAAGAAACGTGCAAGTTGGCCCGAGATGTATAAAGTTTTATTAGCCCTATAATAATTTGAATGAAGAAGGGAAAATTCGTCTTACTTTACGAGAGTTTGAGGGTTTAAATTTGGCATCAAGAACTGAGTTTCGTGCTTGATGTTGGCGACTATACACCGCCGTGTTCGTCTTCGCGCTTCAATTTGACTTATTTGTGGCACTTCCCATGGCGTCTATAGGCCTATAATTTAATTTTCCTAAACTTCCTAAACTACAGCTCGAAATTCTAGACCTGCCCGAATTGCGTTTGCCCGTACAATTTCCCGTGTCTCTTATAACAGTTCTCCACACTGAAGGTTTAGCAACATAATCAGACTTAAGCCAAGAACCAAAAAAAGTGGTACGGTACCAAAAATCGAGCGTAGTGTAAACGAGACTTTATTGTGCATTCTATTCACTACGAGTCTTCTGAATGGTCTTCTTCGACTATGTTCCTTTTCGGAGTTACCGTTATTTTGTATTTGTAAAATACTCAGTGGTTCCCGTCGCTTCTGTCCATATTATTCATAAATGCAAATGTGTATATTAAGTCAAATATACAATATGCGTTCATTTCTAAAATACATTTATTATAACATTATTTATACAAATACATTTACCATACTCATATTTTTTTCTGTGTGTTGGCGTTATGTACTCATGCGAATATGATGTATGTGATGTTATATAAAAATTTTGCCCAGCATAACGTACACAAAAGAGCCATATAGACAAGAATATAGAGAAAATTTATTTGAGAAGTACAAACATTTCGTCTTTAACTTAAGACATCTTCAGAGTAAAAGAGTATAGTATGACAATGAGTTACAAATATGATTAACACCTTTGGTAACATACAATTACAACTTACCCGTGTGGATGGTTAGGTGCATTGGGTGGGAGGCCTGCCGTTTGTATACCAGATACTTACCATTACTTGGATTCAGGTCAAGCTTCCAAGTATTGACCTGACCACCCGTTTGCACCTACCACACCGAGTTACTCAGTGGAACGCAAAGAATTAGGAATCAGAGTGACAAGAAAAATTTTTTTTTCCTAGCTTGCGCTCACAACTGCTTGTCAAGCTGCGCTTCCCACAATGATGCAGGCAACGCCTGTTGTGCTTCCTGCCTTTAACGCCTAGGTTTGGCCCATGCTCCGCGCGCTATGTTACCTTGTTGTTAACCTTGCTTATTGCATAACCTCATTTAACACCTTCGGTAACATACATGTACAACTTACCCGTGTGGATGGTTAGGTGCATTGGGTGAAGGCCTGCCGTTTGTATACCAGATACTTACCATTACTTGGATTCAGGTCAAGCTTCCAAGTATTGACCTGACCATCCAAAGTGACATCCCCATCACCAGGATATCACCCATCCAAGTAATACCTTCCTTGTCCACCTCCCTCTCACCTCATCAACTACGGCCTGCTAGCGCTGGCTCGACTCATACAATGCTCGCCTAGTTACCTGAGGTCACACCCAGGTATGCTGTGTTGAACAAGTGGCCTAGTTACCCGAGGTCACACCCAGGTATGCTGTGCTGAACAGGTTGCTTAGTTACCCGAGGTCACACCCAGATACGCTGTGCTGAACAAGTTGCTTAGTTACTCGAGGTCACACCCAGGTATGCTGTGTTGAACAAGTTGCTTAGTTACCCAAGGTCACACCCAGGTATGCTGTGCTGAACATGTTGCCTAGTTACCCAAGGTCACATCCAGGTATGCTGTATTGAACAAGTTGCTTAGTTACCCAAGGTCACACCCAGGTATGCTGTGTTGAACATGTGGCCTAGTTACCCGAGGTCACACCCAGGTATGCTGTGCTGAACATGTTGCCTAGTTACCCAAGGTCACATCCAGGTATGCTGTATTGAACAAGTTGCCTAGTTACCCGAGGTCACACCCAGGTATGCTGTGTTGAACATGTTGCCTAGTTACCCGAGGTCACACCCAGGTATGCTGTGCTGAACATGTTGCCTAGTTACTCGAGTTCACATCCAGGTATGCTGTGTTGAACATGCTGCCTAGTTACCCGAGGTCACACCCAGGTATGCTGTGCTGAACATGTTGCCTAGTTACCCGAAGTCACACCCAGGTATGCTGTGCTGAACATGTTGCCTAGTTACCCGAAGTCACACCCAGGTATGCTGTGCTGAACATGTTGCCTAGTTACCCGAGGTCACACCCAGGTATGCTGTGTGGAACAAGTTGCTTAGTTACCCGAGGTCACACCCAGGTATGCTGTGTTGACTATGTTGCTTAGTTACCCAAGGCACAGAATAGGAAGTTATACCAGAAGCGTAACTCTAGTCGTTTCCCTTATTGTTTGACGTCCACGAAAATTTTTAACTCGCTCACGTCAGGCCACGCCATCCTGGCTAGTACAGCCGGAAGTTTTTATCAGGATTTGGTAGGTACAAAGTGCCGGTTGTACTAGCCAGGATGGCGTGATTGATGACGAATCGCTTGTAAAAACGCGGACAAATTTTTGCTCGAGTTACGCTTCTGGTATAACTTCCTATTCTGTGCCCAAGGTTACACCCAGGTATGCTGTGTTGACTATGTTGCCTTGTTACCCAAGGTCACACCCAGGTATGTTGTGCTGAACATGTTGCCTAGTTACCTGAGGTCACACCCAGGTTAGTTGTGCTGCCAATGTTGCCTAGTTACCCGAGGTCACACCTAGGTATGCTCTGTTGGAAATAGTTACATTGTTATGATCAGACGGTACCCACAAACATATACTCAGACAGACCACTTTTTTTCTTTTTTTTCTTTTTTTTTTTTGCAAACCTTTTACTTTAACAAATACCGTTTGAATTCGACTTGATGAATAACAATAACCATAATAAACCCCAATTATACGTGCATTCTTAAACTTATCGTGCGCGTCCCTTAGCAAGAGGTTCGAGTTGAGATGTCAAACGCACTAACAATTCTGCTGGTATCATCACAGGCTTTGGTGCAGCCTGAGGTGCCAGTTTGAAAAACTCCGTCATTTGAAATCGTGATAAAGCATCTGCCAATCGATTAGATTTCCCCGGGACGTGTTTTGCCGTGACCTGGAAATTGTAACGCGTGCTCACTAGATAGAGTGCCCTCAACAGATGCATTAACTGTTCATCCTTCGATGTGCCTGACATAATCACCGAGACCACGGCTGTATTGTCACATTGAAATTCGACAAGTTTGCGTGCCCAGTTGATGCCCCAAACATGACAGGCCAGGACAATAGGGAACAGCTCTTTATAAGCGATGCATAAAGGTTGCTGTAATGGAAGCCAAGAGCCGTTAAACCATTCTCCATCGTAGTAGACGCCAAACCCAAGGCTACCAGATGCATCTGACGACAACGACAAATCCCCTGGGGGTGCCCACTCCGGTAAGTCGAAAAAATAAACCCCCTCCCATGACGGTAGAGATTCTTGCCACTATGCAATATCAAGTTGACACTGCTTGTTGAGTCGTAAAAACGGTCTGTAACGCGGGGACCCACGCAATAAATCAATGAGACGTCGTGTAAAAGTACGACCACACGGAATCACTGTGCATGCGTGATTTAGTTTGCCCAACAGGGATTGAAGTTCCTTAGGCTTGCATGACTTTTTGTTTTGCCAATCGTGTAACAAGGCTATGAAGTCCGCCAGTTTATCTGCAGGGAGTCGTGCTGACATCTCGACCGAGTCTAGTTCGATTCCTAAGAAAATCAAGCGGGTTGTGGGACCTTCGCATTTCTCAGGCGATAAAGTATTCCTACAAGCTGGGCTGCTTGATGAATTGCCATGAGACGTTTTGCGCAAATATTAGTGCCGGCAGCCCCTACGGTAAAATAATCATCCAGATAATGCAATAAATCGTCCACGCTCCAGTTGTGAATTAACATCCATTCAAATAAATCCGCCACGCTATTAAAGATTCCGGGTGCAGACCGCAAGCCAAATGGTAGCGTCAAATCGACATAATACTGCCCTTTCCAGTACGATCCTAATAAATATCTGTCACTAGGATTTACCAGGATTATTCGGTAGGCACTTTTGATGTCCACCTTGCCCATCAACGCACCCTTACCAGTTTTTTAAATTAAATTAATCGCGTGTTTTACAGTACAATATTGCAGTAAAAATTCGTCTTTATCTATGCCATCATTAACGCTATGTGCAGTGGAAAAGACAAATCCAATATAAGACGCCACGCGTTTCCCTTCTTTGGGATTACGCCAAATCGACTAACATGGAGATGCTTGAGCGGTGGAGTTTTTGTGGGCCCAAACACTCTGCCAAGACTAACCTCTTTATTTAGATACTCGTCAATCACAGCCGGATGCTCACTGGCCGAGATACAGTTTGATGTTGCCGATTTTAATTTACACAAGTGCGAGTGGAAACCAAGTTGAAACCCAAAACGCAAGCCGTTTAACACGTAATCAACCCTGCGGCGATCCGAGTGAGACTTTAATTGCAATTCAAAATTAGTTAAGTTTATAGGTGAAATTGTTTGAACGTCAGGAAAGTTTAAAGAAATGCACGATGAGATTTTTCGCAGTTGTTCATTTCGATCTAGCTCGGTGGCTTCGTAAGGCATTTTGCGGGCGTTGTGGTGACCTGTCGCGCGCCTCGCGACAGTTGATTCTGCGGCGAAGGCCGCCGCACTTCGCTCGATTGCAACAGTGGCGAAATCTACAAAGCTCTCGCGGACTACTGCACATCTACAAAGCTCTCGCGGACTACTGCACGCACCGGCATTCCATGAACGGCAAATCTCAGACGCGCTCTGGGAACCTTGCGGTTCACGACGATAACTGCTCTGCGACACAGAACGAGTGTAAGCGACGGTTGAGTTGACTGACGTATTGTAGCTGTATAAATCGTTAGCTCCAATCGCGCAAATTGGACGCTGCCGCTTCGAGACGAAATGCACGATCATAATTTAGCCAACAGTTTCCCGTGTAGCGCTTCGCCATTCGAATGATTAGTGCCATGTAAGACAATAAATCGCGCGAACGAGACGGAAATGAAGTCGAAATAACCGTGACATAACTGGTAAAACATTCCACCCACGTCAATATATCAGTAATTTCTTGCTTACGCTTAGACGAAACTTTAGTAATCGGGACAATAGCGCCTCTCTCGATCGTGAAAGAAGATGATTCACAACTTGGGGATTCTAAATTTTCGGGCAGCAACTCGGACAACTCGATAAACTTGTTGCCTAGAATCTGCGTAACCAATTTAGATCGAATAGGAAGGCGTCCTGGCCAAACTGGGGCCAGTTAAAGCCTCATGATCAAGCGGTAGATTCGGAACATTTATAGTATGTAAAACATTACTGCTCATCATGGGAGCTGATTGATCGGCTGAATGGCTATGGGTAACTTTAATAGTAATCTGCTTCGGAGATACAAAAATAAAGATATACACCGGCACTGTATTGATATATGTTCATACCTACAAGTTTTTTTCATAATAAAAGTGTACTTTCCCAATTTAGATTGGGTGGGTGGGTCATGAAATAAATTGGTAAGATGGGATGGGCTTTGAAACTTTTATCTACATCCTAAGATGGGTCATCAAACTTATTGGCAAAATTTGTGATTTACCTCCAGCCCACCCTAGCAGTTACTTTATGACCAGTCCCTAATGGCAGACAAGACATTTAATAAGCTGTCCCACAACTTGATGCAACATCTACCGTTCTATGAACTTAGTAATAGTGAATTTAATTCCTTAAACGGCATTTGGATGAGGGATTTAGATGCTGACTTGTTCGATATATTACCGAACCCTAATAAACTTGACGAAAACGATCCTGACCTTATGTTAAGTAATATAACTTCTAATTATTACTCTGTGATCAAGCTAAATCGTCTATTAGAAAATAATAGGTCAAAGTCCTTATCACTCTTTCATTGCAATGTAAGAAGCCTACCAAAAAACTTTAACCTGGTTAATGATCTAATTTATACTTTATCAAATAAGCCTGATATTTTGGCCGTTGCGGAAACTAGATTAAATAATAATACTATAGTAAACACTCAAATACCAGGCTATAATTTTTATCACCAAGATTCTCCAACGGCCGCAGGCGGGGCTGGCATCTATATATCGCAAACTTTAAAATCAAGCATAAGGACCGATATCAAATTTTCTACTGAATTAGTTGAATCCTGTTGGATTGAAATTGACAGTGGGGCAATGCAAAAAATCAAGTTATTGTTGGTTGTATATACAGACATCCAAAGTCAAAGCTAGATACATTCACGGAAGAATTGGAAGAGTTGCTTAGAAAATTAAATCAGGGTAAATATTATATATATCTCCTTGGTGATTTTAATATTAATTTTTTGAAATATGACTTTCATCAACCAACTGAAAAGTATTTAGACATGCTTTACTCTAATAATATAACCCCTGTTATTACCAAACCAACACGACTAACCGACCATACTAAGACTTTAATAGACCATGTTTACACAAATGGACCAATCTCAAATATAACAACCGGTATTGGTCTGTTGGACATATCCGACCATCTTCCAGTATTCTGTATCACAAAAAAATGCATGCAAAAAAACAATGCAAAAATATTTTACAGAGATGACAAACATTTTAGTAAAGAAGCATATATAAATGACATGCAAAATATTAACTAGAATTCACTAGTTAGCACAACTGGCGATCTTAACCAATCTACCGTAAATATAATAAATGTTATCCAAGATTTGGTAAATAAACATGTTCCTCTAAAACAAGCATCACTCAGCAAAAAAAAAGCAACTAATTAAACCCTGGATTACTGATGGAATATTAAAATCCATAAAAACTAAACAAAAAATGTATAGTACCCACTTTCATAGCAACAATATAGAAAAAGTAAATCAATATAAAAGATATTCAAACAAACTAAATAAAATAAAACTTGATAGCAAAAATTACTACTATAACGCACAATTTGCGAAGTGCAAAAATAATTTGAAAGCTACTTGGAAACTAATTGGGTCAATTATCAAACGTAAAACAAAAGGACAAATACATCCCACAAAAATTACAATCAATAATAAGATATATACAATTAAACAAGATATTGTTAATCAGCTCAATCAATATTTTGTCAATGTAGGCCCAAATCTTGCAAATTCAATCACGACTTCTAACTTTCAACCAATAAGTTACATTAGTAATGCAGCAGTGCCTAGTTTTTTTTTTATGTCCCCAATTACAGAGACTCAAGTACTCAATCTTTTCTTAGGCCTAGATAGTAATAAAGTATCTATTGATATACCTAACTAGAAAATACATGCATGCAGAAACCCTCGCCTTGCTGACAAAACCATTGTATTTTCCAAACATGAAGTATCCAAAGTTGTTGTCATGGTAATAACGCGATAATTTTTTAAGAATATTCTTACAAATGAAAAATTGCCTAAAAATATCAATTTTAATTACAAAATTATCAATTTCCCAACATATATTTGTTAGGTATGTTATTATACGTAATATAAGCTTCAATTTAAGGTAAAATTCAACCACAAAAGCTTCGTAAAACGTTTTAAAACGTTCTTTATAAAACTAAATTGCCTGGCTTTAATTAAATGGCTTTATCGATAAACTTTGAGTTTGCAACAAAATGATTTCAAATTCTCGCATGCAAATAACTTTGCTTTCTTTTTAGTAAAAAATTCAATATAATAAAAAAGGAATCAATATTAATAATACACTGAATTGACTGAAATTATATGCTGTCTTGTTTAGTTATTTCATATACGCAAAGGGCCAAAGGCCGTCGGGTTTTAAAGCAATTATAAAATCAATATTTAACACAAACTTACCTTCGTTAATGTCGGCTCCCTTCTTTTAGCCGATTCTTTCGCCGTTTCTATCTTGAAATTTACAAAATCTTGGAAAAATGCGAGTAAAATTGAAGTATATTTGCAAGAAATTTATCAATCATCAAATCTGTGATCAAATCAAGAAATGTTTGCTATTTCGCTGTCGTCATACAGTCGTTATGATGCAATCTTTAAATTGGACCAATCAGTGTCCGCTATTCATGACAGTCCGCCATATTTTTGAGATCAGTGAGGATGACCACCCACTCAACACCGTTGGTCACCCACGCCCGCGATACTTGATGAACTTTAGACTCCGCTAATGCTTTCGTTTCCCCGGGTGTAAATAGCCGGGGGGAATTAGTACCCTCGCACGGCGCTTCGCGCCGTCGGCTCGGGGATAATATGATAAAAATAGCAGCATATGAACTTTCGCCAATCATTACCAATATTTTCAATGAATCCATTTCCACAGGCGTTGTTCCTGACATCTTAAAAATTTCTAGAATTACGCCTATCTACAAAAGTGGTGACACAAATGAGCCACAAAATTATCGACCAATATCTATACTATCCGTTTTTTCAAAAGTCTTAGAACGATTAGTATATAACCAATTGGATAATTTTCTTGAAAAGTACAATATAATGTACAATTATCAATTTGGATTCAGGAAAAAGCATTCAACAGAGCAAGCAATTCTCGAACTTACTGATAAACTAAAATCTGCGATAGATAATAAACAACTAACGTGCGGTCTATTTTTAGATTTTTCAAAAGCCTTTGATACCGTTAATCACAAAATCCTTTTAGAAAAGTTGCAAAAATATGGAATACGAGGTGTTCCACTCCAATGGTTTACAAGTTATCTAACTAATCGCCAACAATACGTTAGGATAGATAACACAGACTCTGAAATGTTAAGAATGACTTGTGGAGTTCCACAAGGATCAACACTTGGACCGTTATTGTTTTTGCTGTATATAAATGATATGCCAAACTGTTCAAAAAAGCTATCCTTCCGAATATTTGCTGATTACACAAATGTTTTTTACTCAGGTAAATCAGTTAGTGAAATTGAAATAGTAATGATTGAGGAAATTAAAAAAATTGATAACTATTGTGCTACAAACAAACTATCAATACACTTTAAAAAAAACAACTTTACGATTATTGGCTCAAAACGGAAAAAGATCGGTAAAATCCAAATTGGAAACATAGAACAAACACAATACATAAAATACTTAGGTATGTACATTGACAAACACATCACTTGGGAACAACAAATCAAACACGTGACTGCCAAAATTTCCAAAAATACTGGCATCATAAACAAATTAAGATATTACCTTGATTTAAATACGCTTAAGCAACTCTACTATACCTTAATTTACCTTTTTATAAACTATGGACTAATGAGCTGGGCCAATACTTATACTTCTCATTTAACCAAGCTCCGTACAGCTCTCAACAAATCATTAGAAGCATATTTTTTGCTCACAAAAGAGAGAATGCCACTCCTTACTATAGCCTTTTGGGAATCTTAAAATTAGATAATGTCTTCAAGCTTGAAATAGCTAATTTCACTTAGAAAATTTTAAATGAACCAAGTAATGTACCTAATATATTTTCTACGTACGTAACGTAAGCTTCCGCGTCGCACACCTATAATACGAGGTTTGCTTCAAAAGAAAATTTTAGCAGACCAAAAGTAAGAACTAATTATGGAAAATTTACATTTCAATTCGCTTCATCTAAAATATGGGAATCAGTAGATACACAATAATTTAAGAAACACTATAAGCAATCGCTCCTATTAACTCGAATGTAATTATAGAGTATATACAGTTGTGAATTCGTTCTAGCGCCGCTCCTTTCTTATTAGTAGCAAATCCTAGGTAGTGGACAACTCGAAAGTACTATGCTACTTTGTCCACTGCGCACGACATAATGAATTATTAACTCCAATTTATATCTACTACTCACTATAACCTTAGTCATTACTCTTCACTTTTGTAAATAATCTATATGACGTGCACAACTTCAATAAAATTGTAAATTGTAAATTGATTTGCGTAAAAAAAACAAAGGGAGGCCAAA